GAAATGCTGTCTCGCCTCAGGCTCTCGAGCAGATTGGCAATGCTATTGGTGTTGTCGACGGCCAGGCTTGTGTATATACCCCTGGAATCCTTCAAAGATCAATCCGACGCTGGTGCGATGCAAAGTGTGAATTGCTATCTGCCCTATTACTTTTAAAAACAGCTACTAGCTTGCAGTTTGGTCATTTAACCTAATATAAAGCAGCTGTACGTGTGCTTGTGCCCGCACTGACTGAGGTGGAGGGAGACCTGCAGCATTAACATCATCGCCCCTGGAGACGACCATTGAGAATCTGATTGGGCGGCCCAAGAAAAGGCCAAAGCTGCTCTGCCGCAAACTCATCATGTTACCGCAACACACTCTTGACATTTCTTTCATGTGCATCCACCTTAGGACCAACCCCTCGATGAAACCGACTGGGTCTCTATCCGTCGGCCAACTTCGACACGCCGTCTACTGCACGGAGGAGTGCTTGTGGTTTAAAGTGCTCAAGGAGGTTGGGGTTCGGACCGCCTTATGAATCGATTGATCTGCAGACGCCGTCCTTCTTCACTGGCTAATGAAGTCGTTCAGTGCACTTGCAGGTCCCGTGTTTGAGCTGCAAAATATGGCGAGACGCCGATCTCAAGCCGCTCAGACAGTTTCTGCTTGCTGAGATGCAAGCAGAACGCTTCGCACCGGTGAGCTTGGTGTTTTTTCTTAAGACTACGCAGCTGGACTATGAGGAATCTTCTTAGTTGACTCTGCATCTGATCTACGGAGATAGTATTTAAGTATCATGCTGCATCATGATCGTTGTCAAAACCTGCCGTCAAGCTGCAGAGACAGTGTTTCTGGACGCTGCCACAGTCAGCTCGCCTTCAGGATCTGATGAGCTTTTGAAGGGGATGGAGATAAAGAAACTTCGGGTTTCTAGCTTCAATAGTAGTATAAACTAGATATGCTAGTACGAAGTTTCGGCTTGTCTGCAGCAGAATCAATCGGCTGTCTGATTTGTCAAGCAGGACACAGGTCTATAGAGCAAAGTATGTATTTTAGCAGATTTCGAACATATGATATATATATATATATATATATATATATAATATACACGTATATATATATATACATATACACTTATATCTATATATATATATATGAGAATATAACTTGGTGCTCTGTGCCTCTGGATCTGTGCAGTGAGGACGTCATAGTGTTTGTGTGTGTGTGTGTGGAATCTAGTTGCACAGCACGATGCAATGCAAGATACCCCTTTTGATGTTGTATGCTTTTATATCAGATCAATAGTATATGTATTTACATTACATTTATACATATATACATATATATATATATATATGCATATTCGTATTAATATAAGATGTACATTCATATAATACGATATGACTACTCATATATTTATTGCGTAATATATATATATATATATATATATATGCAATACTAACATGTACATATTCTACTTTAATGACGAATAAAGGTGTTATCATAAATATCTATCTATATGAATAGTAAAGTACGGCTGATATTGTCATTGTTGTTGCTGGTAATGTAGTAGTATATCGTGCACGGGTTCAAGTTCGGATTCAGGCTCTTCTAGACCCTATTGGGGTCCTGTCCTCTTATTCGGAGGTTTGCTTGATTAGGATTCCTGAATAGGCGGCGACCTGCTGGATCAGCGGGGTTACGTTGACTTCGGCCAATTTTAGTATTGGCCCCGGGCCCTTTCACGGATCAGCTGGGTTGACTTCGACCAATTGTAGTACTGGTCCTGGGTCCTTTGATCGACGGATCAGCTGGGTTGAATTCGACAAACAGTAGTACTGGCCCCGGGCCGCCTATATAGGCATGCACGAGCACAGCTGGTCCTGCACAGCATCGTAATTCCATGCACCGTTCCCGCTTCATGCCTGGTAGAACGAAGCGAAACGCACAGAAATGACAGACTGCACTTCATAGCCCTTAAAACTAGCCTTTTCGCTCCTAAAAAATAAAAAAAAGCACGCAAAGTGCCCAAATGTATCTTCAGTTTTCATCAAAAAACCACCAAACGCCAAAGACAGAGATTTGGCGCGGAAAGACCGCCCTGGCAGGAGGAAAGGCAGGGATTTGGAGAGGAAAGACAGAGATATGACAGTCCTCAATTTCCTCAAAACATCCACAAAAGCACGAAATCACGCAAAAAAACAGGAAAAAAAACAACAAAGCCAAAAGAAGCACCCAAAAGCAAATCCAAGAGATCCAAAATTCCCGTAATACCACCTGCAAAAGCCATCATGATAGTCACGTGCACACTACACTGGATGAGTCCTTAATCTTTGTGTGTCATTCTTGAACTGCCCGCCGGTGTCCAATGAGCTGCCTGGTCGAGCAAATACACTGGATCTTTCGTATCCCTGCATGGTTTTGTGGTTGCTACGGTACACATTTGGAGGATTCTTTTCGATTTCGGTGCATCTCTAGTGCATTAGCAGAAGAAAGCATCAATCATGGTGAGTGCGGCTGCAGCAGCTGCCATTGCAAATGCAAAGAGTTTGCTTCAGAGGGCCAAAGGTTCCAAGGATTTGAAGTCCGGCCAGCCGGAGTCTGAGTTGATTTCGTGAGTTCATCGAAAGCACACTTCATTTAATTCGGTTCAGGTCGAAAGATGAGATGGCCGGCGAAGTTGAAGCGGCTTCGCCGGCACCTTCTGCAGGAGCCCGGTTGCCAATAATACAGAACTCAAGCGGCCGCAGGAGTAGCAGTAGTAGTAGTATTAGTTGTTGCTGTTGTAGTTGTATAACGTAGTAGTAGAAGTAGCACTAGTATACTACTATACTATAGATGTAGTAGCAGGCAGCAACAGGAGTAGTAATATCAGTAGTGTGTTCATAGTGATAGATAATTAGTAATATATTATGTGTATATGTGTATATATATATATACATATTAGTGCTAGTTTTTATATTATATTTATAATATACATATAACATGTTTTGCTGCTGCTTCTTCTGCGGTTAATATTACTGCCGCTGCTGTTGTTGCTAGTACGACCAGCCATGTCTACGACGACGAGTACAGCAACTACTACACGAACCACCGCAACTACTGCTACTACTCCTGTTGTGGATCCAAGTGCTACTACTACTACTACTACTACTACTACTACTACTACTACTACTGCTGCTCAGGCCATCATTTGCTTCTGCTACCGCTACTGCTACGGCTGCTACTGCACTAAGCACTACATCCGACCAGGAGCCAAGTCGTCCCCGGCATCTTCTAAGAAGTCGAGCCCTGGAAAGACCGAAGATGTGTTGCAAACCCCACCGCCGAAAGCGAAGCATGCCAAGGCTGCATCCAGCAGTGCTTCAAAGAAGCTCAAGAGGGCCCGCCACCTTCCTTCCAAAGTGGAAGCCTCGCCAACCTCGGCTCCCAAACCCAAGGCCCTGGTGAAGAAGGCTATTGCTAAGAAGAAGGCTCCCAAGAAAGCTTCCAAGGGCAAGACCGGGACCACAACAACTTCGGCAGAAGCCGGCAGTGCGAGCGGCAACTCCGCGACCATCCCCAGCCACCGCATGAAAGCAAAGAAAAGCCCCCCCGAGGAAACCGCGGTTGTGCCGGCACCGGCTGAGACCGCCCTTGTTCCTATGAGTACTCACATAGCCGAGGCTTTGCAAAAGCTGGGCTCAGGAGATCACTCGGGCAACAAGAAGTGCTTGGTGCTGCTGGAGGACGAGGACACAAGGCAACAGCGGAAGAACAAGAAGAACTCGTTCTATCGCAGCCTGATCAGCCACCTGGTTTGAGTTCACGCCGGATGCTAGCTGAGCTAGAAATCCTTAATTAACCCAGTCCCGAATCTATGTGAGAGTTATATATGTTAAACCCCACCCCCCTAGGAGTTTGGGACTTAAGCTAGCCGAATCAGCCTACAACAACCCTCACAATTAACATTACTATGTGCAATTTTCGTGATCTCCGGACCCCTTAAATGGTGCCTGACTTGATTGAGCCAGCTTGATCTACTAAATGGCATGGAAACCTAAATTTGCATTTGCTAGCAATCGCAGTAGGTCCTATCATGCCCTATCACAGCCAAAGACAGCCTCAGAGAGCCCTGCTAGATGCTGAAGCCCACACGCTTGTATCGTAATCAGACTAGATAAACCAGGCATCCCGGAATGTGATGTGTCATCGCACGTGACATGGACACTCGCTAGTAAGATCAGATGCACACGCTTTGCTCACGTGTACCCGCATGTGAGGTCACTTGATAGCCGAGGCATAAATTCTATACTATCATGTATATAGACATAATATATATATATATATATATATATATGATATATGATATATGCATATATGTGTAAGTCTACTACTGCCGCTACTGTAGATCCTATAACAACGACTTTTGTACTACGTACTAGGTGTAGTGCAGCATAATTCCCTTTTTTTAATACTCTAAGTATTGTGTGTGTTACAACTGCCTCTCCTACTGTCCCTACTCACGTATCTCTATATTAGTATGGTGTGTATAATATCTTACAGTGTTCTATCTAGTTTTGCCCAGGTACGAACAGCCCGGAAGAGATCCGCATGGCCGCCGAGAATGCAAGGGGATGCTCCTTCGCTGCTCAGGGTTTTTCCCAGTAGAGGGGTTCTTTCCCACTAGAGCCACGTGCTAAATATTACATATGGTATTCCAGCTTTGTACTGAACCGATCTAGAGACGTTTTATCACTATTCATTTTTGTTCACTACTTTTCTCACTAGTCTTTTTTCTCTACTTTCTATCTAGGACTTCGAATCCAGGCCGGGACAAAATGGCCATGTTGTATGAGCAGTACACTGCTTGCGAGGGCAAGTGGACACGTTCGAGCCTAGTGGTGTCGCTCAGGGAGCGGCACAGTACCAAGAAACGTGGATGCAGGAAGTGGCTTACGTTTCGACAGCTCTGTGACAAGTACCAGTCGATCGAAGCTGCAGAAGAGATCATCATGAACAAGCTTTCGGACGAGACGATGGCAAAGCAGGACGTCAAGCCGCATCCGGATGCACCCCTGAATCCACAGCTGACCTTGTTCAGAGTGTGGGATGAGGAGGGAGAGTGCGACGAGACTGACGAGCTCTTGGAGTCGTTTTTCTCCTTGACGTCGGAGGACGACCTGCGACCGACCCGACGCTCGACAAGTGAGAAGACTGAGAAGACTGAGAAGACTGAGAAGAAGAAGAAACGCAAAAGCTCGAGTTCCTCCTCCAGCAGCAGCAAGAGCAGCTCTGACGACAGCGACGACGACAGCTCCTCGAGCAGTGCCAAGAAAAAGAGCAAAAAGGGCAAGAAGAGCAAAAAGGGCAAGAAAAGCAAAAAGTCTAAGAAAAGCAAAAAGGACAACAAGGGCAAGAACAAAAAGAAGGGCAACGGCAACAAGCGGAACAAAAAGGAGACAGCTAAGGAGCTGGAAGCCAAGGCCGCAAAGGAAAAGAAGAAGGAGGAAGAGAAAGCTCAGAAAGAGAAGGACAAGGAGGAGGCTAAGCTACGCAAGCAGGCAGAGCAGGAGAAGGAGACCGAGAGAAAGCAAAAGAAAGCCGATGCCATGAAGGCACCAAGGAATATTGAGTTGCTACTACTACTACTACTACTACTACTACTACTACTACTACTACTACTACTACTACCTACTACTACTACTACTACTACTACTACTACTACTACTACTACTACTACTACTACTACTACTACTACTACTACTACTACTACTACTACTACTACTACTACTACTACTACTACTACTACTACTACTACTACTACTACGACTACTACTGCTGCTAGTATCGCTACTATACTACACTACACTGCTACTGCTACTGTTACTCCTACTACCACTACTACTGTGCACATGCATGCAACTACTAGGTGCAGCAGGAATATACTAGGAGTAGGTTGATGCTGAATCTGCAGTGATTATGTGCACAGGCCCCTCATCATCATCGCCTGCAAACCGCCAAACTCGGGCTCACCAGTGCAAAACATTCTAAGTTGTCGCCTCACCTGGCCCAAACGTCTCATTCGTAGCTTCAAGATAAATCCCTTGGCCGTAATTAACCCCTAAAACCCTGCCTCTGCTGAGATTAACCGCAGGTGGTGTCGCAGATCAACGCGAAGATCCAGGAGGGCTGTAAGAAGGAAGCCAAGATCAACCAGATGCCGTTGCCTAAGATCAATCAATGATCAAGGGATAAGAAAAGCTGCTTAGACAGGGTTCGTTCGGAAGTCGGGGCTACGTCGGGGGCTGGAGTGTAGAGTACGGTACGTTGTTTACTAGCAGTTAAATTGACAGTAGCACTAGCAGTGCTAGCATGGGACCGGTAGGTTGGTGTAACTGTCGTTCCAATCTATAGTGACACTACGAGATATGCTGCAATGGCCAACAACACGCTGGGTAGACTGACAGGTGCAGTGCAGTGGGGATATGTTCTTCGTATAGAGTAGTTTCCCTCACTTACTCATTTAGTGAAGCGAATACTGTGGCAGCAGAAAACCCTGGTCATGCACTACGACAATACAATGTTCTTGGCTTCTAGACACAGCCAAATGTCTACTACAGCCCGAAGACCTCAGAACCCGTCCTAAAGATTTATGCGACGACAACAACAGCAACCGCTAGTTCTACTTCCGCCCGTACTCGCTCCACCCCCAAGTATGGCCGCTAAGTTTCTATTGACCCTCCACCAGAGTGATGCCTCTGTCCACGGCTGCATAGACAAATCGAATTATGGATAAACCTTGCTGTGTGCATAGCCACGTGGCACCGTGCACGGTTCCTTTCGACCGTGTCGAGGCGATCTTAAGTTTCTTCCTCTTTGTCTAGAGCCCCTAAAATAGGTCCTTTGCACCCGAAACCCTACGAGCTGCTATTGTGCAGTGCTGAGCGGGAGGGGTCCGTATACGCATGCCCTTGGGTCACCAGGTTTCATATTGAAGTCCCGGGTTAGAGTTTAGGGATTACGGTTTAGGGTTTAGTGTTTTTCGTGGATTTGGTATAGATGGACCTGGGCCATGAATATCGGTCGATGCCTGCCCAGGAAAAATGCGAGCTTCAGTTGTTAAGCTCCCACAATATGCATTGCATGGCAGACTTTGTAGTCTTTTGGGTTTGTCGGCATGTGCCTGTTCTATCATAAGTATATATACCTAATATATTGTTTGTACTGTTCTATGCAGCGAGGTTGTACACTAGCTTCTATGCAGCGAGGTTGTGAACTAGCACTGGCTATTATAGAGATTAGGTAGAGTGTCCGGGTGGTACCATTTATTATTTCTCCCACTAGAGAGTATTCCCAAAGCCCTTTCATCCAAGGCCCAAGGATGTGAGGACGCCGATGCTCAAGAAGCTGCAGGCATCCAAGGAGGGTCTGCAAGTCGCCCGGGACGACCTGCAGAAAGCATGCGATCATGACAAGGCCCACTGGCTTAAGTTTGTGGCTTCATCATCCGTCTAATCTACCCCATACATAACCTAATTGAGCTCAGGTAGAGGAGGTGGAGGAAAAGATGGAGCTGGCAAGGAAGAAATCCAAGGATTACGAATCCACGCTGGAGAAATTCAGCATCAAGTAGTGCTTCCATGTGGATGCTGCTGCACATTGCGAGTGATCGGTAGCAAGCTCTCAATGGTTGTTATTGTTTGGATAGTACAATAAATAGAGATGCAAGACCTGGCAACTTTTGAGACACGGAGCTCGCAGCACGATGCCGGCCGGGTCCAGGGAAGCTCACAGCCTGAAAGGGCTGTGCACGCATGCAGAGCTGACTTGCTCGTAGACCCTGTCATTCGTCTGGCTCATTGATGGATCAATCAAGCTAGTGCACTGCTACTCTTAGTGCATTGTTCATTCGTACGTGATTAACATGCTTAATGAAAACTCTATCGAACATGGGCCAGACTTTGGACGGGATGTGCAGGGATGCTGTGCGGGGTGGACCATAGGGCTTCATCAAGTTGTGGGATCCCCGACAAAAGGGGCCTCTTTTACTTTGCTCTGAGGCATGATGCCTTAGAGATTTGTGCTCACACTAGGTGGGATTTGCTGACACATGTTCCCGGATGCACCGTTCGCGAACTGGATGAAAAGACCACTATACTTGTGATACGCGAATCTGCATAGCCTGCTATCGGCTACCTTTTTTAATTTTTCTCGTGGACTTCCATGCAGGCGACCCTGGCGATCATGTGCTGGAGAATGCAATTGAGGATGTCGCGAGCGGAGTTGCTTGGGTAGCAGTTTTGATGTTAGTTATGTTCGTTCGCACGACACTGCTCAAGGCATTTCCTACCAAGCCGAGGCATCAACTATTTCTCGAGCTGTGAAAGGGATCCGGGCCCATGTTCGTGCTTCTTGCCTGAATTAAGACCCCTATGAACTCTTCAGCGACTTTTTCAATGATGGATGGAAAGCTTCAGGAGCCCTGTGCTGTAGAACCTCAGACCCACCCAGAAAATCCAAATACAGCATAGTCCGAGAGTCCGAACAAGAGATTATAGTTATGTATTCTACAACTTGTCTGTGTAGGAGATATTGCTCAGCATCCGACCCATTTTTCGCAACTACGCCATCTCGTTTAGGGTGCCGATTAACAAAGCTATAATCGACTTAGTTAGTAGCTATTAATTAGTACCTGCCACGCGAGGAAAGCGGCTCATCTGCTGTGGACGCTGGCTCTGCTCACTTCGGCAAGCTTTCTGGACTCAACGATGCTCGAGACTTCTGGAGTTACTGCAAAATCCCAGTGGTCTCATGTTTGCAGTTGTGCTTCCCGTGGATGGTACATAGTAAACAAACCGACACAGTGTACCACTCAACGAAAATATTGTATTGCTCATGTGTTAGGGATAGGTTTTCATTAGTAAATGTTGGATATAATATAATACGTTATATAATATAACCATAATACGATCGGTCGTTCTTCTAGAAACTCGGTCTAGATTAATCTTACCATCCAAGACCATCCCCCACCCAATCCGAGGACATGGTATCTATGGACTTGACCGTCAAGTGTTCGCCGGAGGAGGAGAAGGAATTGAACGCCAACCACAAAAAGGAATCCTTCCAAATGATGGACCCGCACGCTGTTCTGGCTTATGTATTTGAGCAAGGCATCGAGATTCCTGCTGGAGACGTGGAAGCCTATTGGAATTTTGCTCGTGATATGAAACAGGCTTGGGCAGTGGATTCCCCAGCATCTGCGGCCCACATGCCTGTCGGTTTGTGGGGGGACTCAGCTACGGTGTTCACAGAGTTCGCTAGCTATAAGATAGTTGCGATATTTATGTCGCTCCCACTGTTCCGACCCAAGAATGTAAAGCACAGCCGATTTCTCTTATTTTGTATCGAAGGTAGCAAGATCTGGAACCATGAAACATTGCTTCCTGTTTGGAACCGCATAACTTGGAGCCTCAACTCTAGCTTCGCTGGCAAGTGGCCGACGGTTGGTCCATCCGGTGAGCCTTTCCAGGGCTTGGCTGCAGAGAAAGCCGGGCAACTTATATGCGAAAAAGGTCACAAATTCATCTGTACTGAGATCAGAGGCGATTGGTTGTGGTTGAAGGAACAATTCAGGTTCCCCAAGTGTGCCTGGAATGCCAACAAGATTTGTTTTCTGTGTCCGGCGGCTATGAAAGTGGAGCCGCTGTATATTCGTCATGATGACAACTCCGGAAGATTTTGGTTGGATCAAGAGTTCAATTTGCAGGGTTTTCTTCAGCACAGGACACCACGAATCCGCTGCATCTTGGTTCCAATCGCATAAAAGGTTCATTCATGCACTGTCCGAGTAATGTGTTTTGCTTCATTACGCTTCGGGGAACGGGGGGATTGTCAAGTACATTACGAAGACCGAGGCCCTTTATTGGACTTGATTGGGTTCCACCCACAATTACTCAAACCTTGCTCCATGCACGTGCTGAACCTGGGAATTTGCATGCACGTCAACGCATCGAGCATGCTTCCTGGACAGTGTTCGTAAAATGTTGTTTGAAAGACAAGAACCATGGTAGTATCCCTAGTATCGTTGTATGACCCATGATACGAAGCTTCTGGTCGAACGCAGATCTATGCTCCTATCTTCTGGGTACTTTGGTCCTGCCGACGAGCCTATGAAGAAGCGGATAAGCAGTTCGTATCTTGCTTTCAGAAGTTGGGCACGCCGTGAGGGCATCAGTACAAGCCAGCCGCCTTTTACCGAACGTTTAGCCACTGGGAAACGAAGTTGGGGCCCGTTCGGGCGATTATTTTACATTGCTGTCCGGGGATAAGTCTAAATTCTAACTCGTATTAGCTCTCCAATAATAAGAGTCATAAGAGTTCGTCTTCGCTACAGAATTTTGCAGTTTGGCTAGCTCAGATCTTCAAGAAGACCGGCGATGTGATGATGACTGCGAAAGCTTACAATGCCCGTGTCATTACTGCTTGGCTTGCGACCTGCCTTGAAGATGCAGCAGCCAAGCCAGATCTTTATCCAGATCACAGATATCCAGCTGCCGCGATTGCCATGTTCCTTGCCAGGGTTTTGTATGTTGATACGAGGTTAATGGGGTTGTGCTGTTTGTGACCCCCGGCCTATACAAGTTTAAGGTTTGCGGTCCATGCTGGATCTTCTTTCTTTTGTTCATCCTCCCCGTCCTACTATCGAATTTGTTCTGCTTGAATCCTGCAAGGTCCTCTCCCTCGCGATTCGTCTGTTGCTCTCTCTCTCTCTCTCTCTCTCTCTCTTCTCTCTCTCTCTCTCTCTCTCTCTCTCTCTCTCTCTCTCAACGCCGAATAGCTTCCAAAGTTTCGTGGTGTTATAAATATCAGTTTCCCAGGCCTAGCCTATAGAATTAAATTATGTCGATAGATGTTGTGCAGGCTGTCGTTATCCCGACTTTTCTACCTCATCGAGCAATCCGGTCGCTACTTGCAGCTTGGCTTCAATCCCGGGTAGCTCGCTTTGGAACGGCCAGCTGCCAGCATGCTTCCCAGGACGCCAAGCCAAGCCAATGCGATTTACAAAGCTGGGTCTATGTTTCAATCGAAGAATTTGGAGCTTGCCCGGATGAGTTTGAGGACTGGTACTGTTATACAAGGGATCGACCCTGACTAAACCCCAAACCCCAATTTATACATCCCTTGAGGATGCAAGCTGTGGACAGTCCTTGGAAAATCATCCCGAAAAGACATGATGCTCGGCCTGCATACCCGTGCACATGTACAATGCTGGTCGTATTGCGGTGATGCCATGTTATGTTCGTTACAAGCCAGCTGCCTGAGCTGAGATGTTCAGCCATCTGCTGGAAAACGCATTGACTTTCAGATACTGGGCGAAGACCTATGTTCGTTTTGTTATGTAAGATACAGACACCGTGTACATCTAACTATTATGGGGTCCCAAATTTCAGGATGGAACTTCCGTTATGAACATTGCTTCACTGACGAAGCTGCGATGGCACTGGTGAAACGCTGCCCGACTAGTCTTGATCGATGCATGCAGAGTTTCAGCTTTCTGGTGATCAGCTCGATCTAAGGATTGAGCAAAGTTGCAAAGGCAACACATCGATGCCACTGGATCATGAAAGCTTCGAGAGCGAGGTGGGTTCTGCTTCGAGTTTAGACCCCGTGCCCATCCTTAACGAGTGCTTTTGCTATGGATTGCAGGCTCCGTGTGATGAAACACCACATGACCGAGCCGCTCGGCGATATTAATCAGCTGATGTTTTGAGAAACCGCAGCAAAATCGAACACAATCCAAGGTTGAACCGCTCGTCGGCTCTGGCACGATGATTTGGGCGGGTGTCAGCGGGAAAAAAGCTTGATTATCACTCGAAAGCTTCTTTGTGAGCCCATTGGTGATTTCCTGTTAAACACCAAAACCTGTGTTTTTAGCTTTTGGGGGGGGTATGGCTAAACAAGGTCCTTTCCATAAGCGCTTGGCTTTTACGAGTCTTTGGACTTCCAGGGTAAAGGTAACCCCAACAGACTCAAATGGAGATTACAGGTAGGTCCTTATAGGTCCTGGATACCCCATGTTGATCCTATCGTCTGCGGCTGTTTCGTTCAAGGATACATGGCTTTGCCACAGAGAGGGCGTTCCGAAATACGAGTGGCAGGCGGCAATATTTTGTGAGTTCTGGGTGTTCACTATCCGGTTTGACGTTTATGGTCAAGCGGCATGACTCAAAATAAGACGGGTGTCGTGAATCCTAAGTTTACCCTAAGCCCTAATGCTTGAGAAAAGCGTGCCCTACCGAAGACTCCGTCGTGGCTGCTTGCTCCGGCTTCCGGCATTCGGGGCTTCGGTTTGGGGAATTAGGGTTTCAGCTTTCCCTTCCAGCCTAAACCCCAGCGACCCACGGAACAAAACGCGCCGGTCCTACAGACCTGCACTTCTTCAAAACCCTTTCTTGCAACAAACTTGCGACTTCGAGTTGGACCCTCGAAGCCCTTAAGCACTAAACCCCTAAACCCTAACCCTGAATGCCTAACCCCTAACCCCTAAACACCCAAACCCTAACCCTGAATGCCTGACCCCTATAACCCCTAACCCCCTAAACCCTCTTCCCTGCATCTCTCTAGAACTGTGGTTGGCACTAGGAGCCCGCCCGAAGCCTCCGACACAAAGCGGACATCCAACTGCTCCGTGGACTCCACACCTGTCCTTCTGTTGGGTGCATTGTCGTGTGCATGTGTTCCTGTATATCTGTCTATTATAGTTTCCTCATGGATATGCTCACGAAGACTGTGTGTTGGTGGGTGGGGTCCCAGCTTCAGGATTCAACAAGATGTTTTTCTAGATGTATTTTGTTTAGTCACGGAAACAACAGCACCCTAGAGAAGGTCTGGGCCAGGGGGCCCACGGCTTTGACGAGCTCATGTGCTAGTGCTATGAGTTTCACACAAGGCCCCCTGGCTTGAATAGCCTATAGGAACCTCAACCCAGGAGAAGCAATCCTCGCGTGCGGGCTACGGCCACGTCCTTTGGTAAGTTGCACGACGCTTCTGCGGCATGTACGGCAGTCCTCTTACTTACAAAGAACGTATGCAGACCCTACACCCAAACAAGGCAGACCACATCATAAACACCTGAACTCGAACACTCTGGGAGGCACTGGGAACTAGACTTATAGGTTCCAGGGTCCAATGTCTCGCGTCTTTAGTTTTATGGCTTTCGGGCTTTAGGAAGTCAGCCGGACTGAAGGTTCCTACCCTTGTGGAGCCCTGCAAGCCATCACGTCTCGACTGCAGATGTGGCACAGCTCGCATAGCACGGCGGCAAAGTTCCGCATGTCGAACCTCCGCAGCTGACAGCGGGAAGCTGTGAAGAGCCTTCTCCCAGCAGCAAACTCCTTGTAGGCTTTGGCTTGACCCTAAACTGTAACGGAAAACCCTAGACCCTAAACCTGTGACTTCCCTTGTAAACCGAGGACGAAACAGACTGATGAGGTGTCGGCTGCACGGATCACATTCATGTAGGGTTTCGTTTCTTGTTGAGTTCCTTGTTATGTCTGCCCAACCAGCTGAGCTTACATAAGGGTTTCGGGTTTAGGGCTTTGGGTCCAAGTCGGTCATAGAAGAGCTGGGTAGACATGAATACGCTGTGTACACGGCGCGGCTTGCGGAGGATCTGAGATGTTGTGGTGCTTCCTATTTAAAGGGTTGCGGGCAGTTTAGGGTTCCCATCGAATCTCATTTGTTTTTTATCTGCATGGTGTTAACTACGTGTTCGAGACAGGTCTAGTAGGAACACTCCGACGAGACTTCGAGCTAGAAGTGTCGAAGGAAGGACTCTTGTCGCCGAGCAGCCGCACCGTGAAGAGATTGGTCCCATCCTTGGTTCAGGGCCTTAAGACATCGTGATGATGTCTGGGCTTGTGGCGGCTGCTTCAGTAAATCCTAACCTTTAATTTTGAAGGCATCGAAACGGGCTGATGCACGTACCTTCCAGAGCTACCAGGCCAGCAGAAGACTCGACGAAAGACTACCGGCGATCAGAGATAGCATCGTCTTTCAAGCACCGTCCCCAACAGGCTCACGAACTGCCTCTGACTGCAAGGATATGAGATCCTTGTGACCATTTTTTGGAACGCGCATGGATGATGGTAGACTTCATCATTTACATGCAGCCCATGTCTGAGCCTAGACCTTACCCCGCCTAATGTAGGGGCCTTCATAATCAGAATAGGGTGTGGGGTGTGTGTGTGTGTGTTATACTATGACCGTCATACAGAACCGCCCCAAACAAAAACAAAAATGTGTAGGTAATTATTGAGGTCCTGCCTAGCACGATCTTGTCTCAAGCCAGTTTAGGGAGGGGGTCGAGTAATGTACAGATTCAAGGGCTAGTTCGGCTAGTTTTGCTCCAGATGCGGCCGCCTCCGCTGCTAAGCGAACTACTCAGTACCGTGCTCCTAATCGGATGCTTTCTTTGCACAACCTTCTCCGAGGCCCACGGGGAAGTCTCTACAGATTAACAGGCTTGTGTCCAGTGCCTGCGACGAGCCTGCTCATGAACACCCAGACATTCAAACTGCTTGAAAACGTGATTCACGCTACCCCCTACAACCAATCCGCTTTTGGCAGTGGAGTGTAACAGGTTCTTCGGTGTGAAATGGCCGAACATGTCCCCCAGTGCGCCTATGCGGTCAACTACCTCCCCAGAACACGAAGGCTTTCATCACTTTCACGTGCGCCATCGCGATGGTACAGCGAATGTAAGAATGCAGGAGCTCTGTGCAATTGCTGCAATGGTCAGGCTGGGTCAGACAGAGTGCAGAATCGGACCAGAGACAAGGCAAAGAATGGTGCACGTGGGCCAGCGGTTGCATGAGGGCAGCTTCTGGCCTTCTTTCTTGTTCACGAAAAAAGACATCGTGTCTCGACTCATGCAACATCGTGTGCAGCGAACCAATCGCCAGCCAACACGTATGAGCTCAAGAAATGTGATGATGCAGCTGTAAAAGGGGATACGATCAAAGATACCGCTGATATGCTGATGCTGCTGCTGAGGAAAATACTCCGAACCGCGACACCGTCCTCAGGGAGCCCTGAAGCCTCTTCATCCTCAGGCCAGCAGACGTAGTCTGCACAGTACTTCTTGAAGATGGCCAGGGATTGTTGCAGGACCTGACTTCGGGTTTAGGAGATCTCCGTTTTGAGTGTGAGCGCACTACCCTTGGGCTCTCATACAACGGTCTAGGGTTTGGGGGTTGCAGGGCTTAATTCGGGTTTAGGATGTATGGTTTAGTGCATTGGGAATTGTCCCCTGGTCTATGGGAACAGACATACGAATTTGGTAAGATACAATCCTACAACGTCTCGTGACTCACCTCAGCTTGGGGTATCTAGAACCATCGAACCCCCCACTGAAGTCTAAGGAGTCTGCCTGGAACTCTTGACCCACACTGCGCTTCAAACAAAACCCTGGCATATCTGAGCTAAGTCGAGCTGCAAAGTTGCCCAACATCCAAAAAAACAGTGTGCAGGATTTTGATCAGGGACTAGGGTTGCGGGAGTCATATCGTAGGCTGGTGCTTGGGGGAGTCCACTTGGACCCGCACAGTAAAGAATAAAAGTCGCACAGTGACCCCGCCGTGGCTCACATTGTCGACACTCAATGAACACTCATAACCCCTGTGGCACAAATTGACCCTATGTTCCATGCTAGCTGCTCTGGTTTGGCTTATTTTTGGAGGATGCCCCTGCTCGACCCTTGTGCAGGTTGAGGTATCGCGACCAGGGCCGAGATGCCTCAAGGACACTCCTTTAAGCCACCCTCCGGCTTTCACTCTTGAGCAAACTGCTAAGATGAAGGTCTAGGTTAGAATAGGGTTACTTTAAGGTTCCGTCTTAGAAGGCAAGCAATGGCAGGCATAGCCAGGTGACCCAACTCGCCGTACAGTACAGAAGTGGCTTCGCCGGACTAACGCACACCCCCTAAACCATAAACCCCTAAACCCTGAATCATAATCCCGAGCATATGAAACTCTATTCTGAACTTGTAATCTAAAGCCCTCGAGGACTATGACCAACAGGCCATGAACCCCGACATGGCCATGAACGAAACCCGACAACCTCAAGATGTAGTATAGGGGCCAAAATAGTCAGAACAGGGTCTTGGGGCATACTATGTCAACTATGCTAGACTGTAGCTATAGCTATCGGGGCCTTACGAGTTAGAATGGGGTTTTGGTGCATACTATACTATTGATAAAATAATGAGCATCAAAAACAGTACTGGTAGCTATTTAGGCCCTATAGCAGAGTCTCACTTGGCACAGCCACGCCGTCATGGCCAAAGCACCCTTAACAGATAAGTCTAGAGCCCAGGCACATGAACCCAACGCCTTCGGACCCAGCGCCGAGACTGAGGAAACTACCTTTCATCAGACCCTACCTTAACCCTGAAGAACCTACCTTTTTAGGGTTCCCTATTATGATTTCCTTCTATAAGTCCTTAAAAAGGTAGGTTCTTCAGGGTTAAGGTAAACCCTAAACCGTCCTTTTCCATCATGATACTAAGAAGTTCTGTGTCATCTAAGCCCGATCCTTCATGAAAGTGCAATGGCGAACCTGAACCCCGAATGACCCCAAAGCCCGGAGAAGCAAACAGCCCTAAAACCCGAAACCCCTAAACCCGAAACCCCTAAACCTTAAACCCCTAAACCCTAAACCCGAAGCCCCAAAACCCCCCTGAACCCGAAATCCCTAAACCCCGAAACCCAAACTCCTTCGAGTGGCGTAGATAGGAATTCCCAACTCTCGGGCCAACCAAGCCTCTGACTTCGCCTCACCTCACCACGGCTACTTGGGCTACATCTAACATATGTATGTATATATACATATATATATATATATATGTATAATCTATATCTATCTATCTATCTATCTCTCTCTCTCTCTCTCTCTCTCTCTCTTTACATATATACGCTTATATTATACTATACTAATATTAAGTGGTCGGTAACCTGCTAACTACGCAACTGGAGCCCTTGGATTGCCAGCTGTAGGAGATGAAGGGGTTTTAGGGTGGTTTGGGGGGGAAACGGGCTTTCACAGTTGACTACGAACACATGACAAAGCTCCATGTACAGCCACTTCCTTACATGCCGCTGTTTGATATTTGGTCATAGGGACCGCTTTGGGGGGGTAGGGGGCAGGGGATCATATTTCCTTGAATAAGCCTTATTAGAGCTTTCTCAGATCCTTACTTGAGGTATTAAAGCTATTAATGCCCCCTACCCTCCTCCCCTTAACCCCCTAAGGGTCCTCATGACTATTCTGTTGAAGCCCGAAACAACGAAAAATCCTAGGCTCCGAAACTGTTGAGCTCGCATAGGTCATCGCTTGCCGGAAACTACGAAAGCTGTGACAAAGAGCCAATGGCAATGCACCCTCTAGTCATGTACTGGCGGGTGGTGGAACAAACTTCAAAATCGTAAGCCTGCAGGCACCGTGAATTTATGAACGTTCGAGTTCCGAGCAGTGACATCTCCCCAGTATATACGGAGCTTAAGCCGAGACGCTGATGACACTGTCTGCCTTCTGGACACGGGGCCTCGGACCAAGTCGGTCACTCCGACACTTATCCGATCAGGGATGCGGATGTTCGTTGCGCTACGACCAATTTGAGCCAGCCGACCTTTTCAAGCAGCACAGTTGCGGTAAGCAGCGCAAGTGTTTAGCCGTAATAGTTGCGAGACTCGTGAGCTTGCATCGTTGATACTCGTGCAAGCGGTGACCCTAAAAGAGGTTTGTCATGGTTTCGTCCATGTTTGTCCAGCAGGTGAGTTCTCTCCAAGAAGTCAACCGTGCTCCCAGGAAACAAGAAACCTGGAATCCCCCATCTTCAGCACAAGCACACCGGCACCATAAACTTGATAAGCCCTTAAGACCCTACAAACCCCATCACCCTATAACCGAAACCCTAAACCCTAAACCCTATACCCTAAACCCTAAACCCCAAACCCTTAAAGCCCTAACCCTAAACCCTAAACCCTTAAAGCCCTAACCCTTAAACCCTCTGGAGCCCTGACCCTCCGGCCCTATCCTCGTTGCAGCTAAGAAACCCGGCAAAGAAATCGACCTGGGCGCCAAATTTCGCTCCTCGCCGAGGCGGACCTACCAGGGAGCCGGTGATAAGGGTCCGAGACCTTCAGCTGACATCAGGCCCTGGGAATTCCTGAAACACCCGGAGAGCCAGTGGAAGAAACCGTTGGGCCCTATCTCAACGTGGATCACGCCGCGCCTAGTCGACCTCTGCTCGAAACTCCAGAGTTCCGTCGCTCCGAGATGGAAGGCCTACGGCTTCCCCCTGAGGACAGAGATGCCAAGTCCGAGTCAATGGACTGCCTCGAAGGCTGGCGGTGAGGGCTCGCACCATGGCCCTCCCGGGCATCTGGGTAGGAACCCGAGTTGCGTCGACTTCCGACAGACACCGAGGACATTGAGCCGCGCCCGGAGGGCGGCGCCAAGTTGGACCCTCGCCGCTCCGGCGCCAGGGTCGAGGAGCGCGTGGAAGCACGTCGGTCGCGAGTTCCTGGGAAGGCTGTTGTGGTTGTGTCCGCACACGCTGTCTCTCTGCAAAAGAGCTGTGCCTTAAGACAGCAGCTTGCGCATATGTACTGGTCAGCAGCCGTTAGATAGATGTACATGTGCATGCATGATGTTCACACTACGGTTGTACATAACATCACAACTGGCCTAAAACACAGATCTGCATCCGCAATGCGTGCATACATGCTTGCCAGTAAGTTCGGAATCACGGAGTCGAACCGAAAAGAAGTTAAATAATCCTTGAACAGAAAGATTGGCATCGAAGCAGGAATAGCCCGAACGAGACTCAAGCGAAACTAAGTTGGATACCGGGTGTGGCAATCACTCGTTTGCTAGAATACACGGTACCCAGATTTCCGATGTGCGTTTGAGGGGTGGTCTGGTTGTTTCAATGACTGTATTTTTCGTCGTGCGGCTTGTCCTTTTGTTTCGGGTAGTCCGGCTTCTATTTCAGCTTTACATTGCTGCGTGGGCTCGTCGTGGGCTTGTCCAGTTTCCTTCATGCTTCCTTTGCTTTCAGCTTGCTTGCAGCAATGGGCCGTGCACCTTTCATATGTTGCAGTGTTCGCCGTTACTGTTGCTCCTCCTGTTCTTGCTGCTGTCGTTTTGGTTGTTCAATACCAGCGAACTGTGGCTAATTATGATTGTTCATGCATGCATACATACGTCCATACACACACGTACATATATATATATATATATATATATACATACATACATACATACATACCATGCGTGTATGTATGCGGTTATACGGATACATGCAACTTGCATGTCGCTGTGTGCGTATTGAGTCTGCGCACATCTTTGCCTATCTGGCAACCAGTAGGTGCAAACCTTCCGGCGAAAGAAACTGAGCTGATCCATCAAACCTCTCCGGTTTAGTCAACCCCCGTCTCCGATCTCCGAGTACAGTGAGGGCTATAATCGGGATCTTAAAGGCAGGGGGCAGTTGTAACCAGGGGTCTCGTGGTACAGGCGCCTCCAAGGTTTGAATAGGGCTTTGAGGTATGACTATCCAAGAAACACAAGAAGCCATCACAGATCAATTCAGACTCCATAATACTGGAGTACATTAAGAAACCGAGGAAGACGCCCAAACCGAACTGATCCCCTAACCCTATAAAACGAAAACCCTGAACCCTCGCAACTGGCTTGCAACGTCACCCTAAACCCTAAACCTTCAAGGCCACGGCACCCAGGAGAGAGCCCCGCTTCTCGGCGCCGAGCATTGAGCCCCGCTTCTCCTTGGAACCCTGTCGGCTCGACCTTGTCTCACCCAGTCAAGGGGGAAAAGGAGGACCCCTACCCTACAATGGGCAGTATGATGGGTATATAATGGCTATATTATTAAGGGTATATACCTAGGGGTCCTTATTTAGGGTTCCTCCCTTTGCCCTTGGACCCAGGGTTTAGGGTTCACTTGTCCAGTATCATAAGGGAACTCAAGGTTAACCCTGGGTTAGATAGGGATCTGAAAGGAAAGCTACCCGAAAGATGTACTTCACCATGAATTGAAATATAGGTTTACCGCCTTTCAGGTTTGGAGAGTTGAGGATTTTAAGGTTTCGACTAGTTAACGCTTGGGCTTAGGCCTTGAAGTTTAGAGGGTTTAGTAGGGTTCAGGTTTGGGGTGTGTCGGGTTTACCGGCTTTGAGGTTGAGGTTTTAGGGATTTAATGGGCGTTGCTTTGAGGAAAGGGGCTGTTAAGGCCTAGGGGTTTGAGGTATGTTTTTGCTTAAGGCCTGGTGGAGTTTTGGCTTAGGTTTGAGGGCGTAGACATGGATAGACCTGCTACCGCATAACGAGGAAAGGCTCCAGAAGAGTGCTGCCTTCTAGAGTTTGTCAGAATGCTTTGCGTGAAGAGTTGCATGACTTGCTCTTCGGCGTTGTATCAAGTTGTTGCTGGGTCTGGCTGGCTCGCAAGGGCTATCCTGCATCCCAGCAAAACGTCCTTGAAAACTGCCTGCTTCTGTATGCCGCCTCGGCTTCCTCACTTTCTGCACGAAGGGCAGCATGCATCTACCAAGTATCATCTCTTCTTTCACGAGGCATTGCCACAAGTAAGTAGGGCCCGGACGCTACGCTGCTCACACCAGGCACTCCCTGAGACAGGTCGGGCGAGCCAATCGCTGACGTTCGAAGGTCTTTACAATGGCGACCGCACGAAAGACTCTACACACCCGGTTGACTTCCCACATCACTGAAGTGCCATCTTGACTCACATCGTCATGTGGGCCTCAAGGCTATCATGGCAGCAGCTCTCTGCGACACTTCCGGTCACACGCTAGGCTCCGCCTCGTCCTCCTTCCCCAGAAGGAATCGCAAAGCTTGCGCCCTTAGCCCGCATAGGCTCGGGGTCACACGAACAGACTGATCGGAGACTTTGGCCGTGTCAAAATCGCTTGATATAGGGGCCTTAAAGATATCGGAATAGGGTTTTGGGGGATATTTCGAAAAAGGAACCCCCAACATAGTGTAATAGGTAAATAGTTATTATATTCTGGCTGCCTGGCAACCTGCGTTTAACCCGGAAGCTCTCCTGGACCGATGCTTTGTGCCCTGAACCCGTATCCAGCCATGTGGCACTTCGGAGGAAATGGTGGGCTGCGACTTTTGTACCACTACCGGGTCTGGCATCACTGGCACGACCTGGCAGGGTGTTCAGGCTGCTTCTAAAACGGAGGACATCTCACATCAGATGCAGCGGCAGTCGGATTCTTATGGCTCATATCTGGCTCATATATACTCATATACCTTATAGCCCTCGTACAGACACACCAAACACACAAGCACACATGCACGCATCCCCTCCCCGCGGTTCGGGTGGCCACTCCCATTCGGAAGTTTCAGCAGCAGTCCGACACAAATTTCCCAGCGGTATTTGTGGCTCAGGATGTCCTTCGAGCTGTCTCGCCCAAGCTGTTTCAACTGAGGCTTCTCTGAGACTCTGGCCCTTAAAGAAAGGGCTTCTTCCACAGAAGTCTCCCTTGTTGTAGATTGTTTCGAACTTTCTGTAAAAAGACTATAGAAACCCGCAGACCACCCTATAAAGCCCCGGCAGATGCCTGGTAAAACGCACGACTCCGCACCTGCACGGCCTTCGGCTTCCTCTTGCGCGGAGGGAGATCCTCAAGCTTCCGGGGCGCCTGTAGCATCGCAAGTTCTTGGTTTTGGGCTTTTTGTTTGCCAGGGCTGAGACGTAAGCAGCCAAACAAACAAACTCACACACTCGAAAACCCTTGTAAGCTTTAACCGCTTTACGTAACCTTATAGACCCTAACAGTGTAGCATGCCCTACAGTCCCCAAACCATTCCAACACCAGGATCCTTGACCCCCGCTGATGTGCCTTTCGCTGCGGGCTGCTCCTCAGGAAAGCAAGAGCTATGTGTCCGGGCTTCCGCGTTAGGGGCTTGTAAAACCCTACCAAAACAACCCGGCTTAAAGCATCCAAAATCCGAAACATGCAACCACAAGGACTGCAATCCCAAACCTAAACCCTCTAAACCCTGAGCCCTATGAACCCTAAACCCTTAAACCCTATTACTATTATACACCCTCTAAACCCTAAGCCCTATGAGCCCTAAACCCTTAAACCCCGCACTCTATAAACCCTACTACTATGATAAACCTCTAAACCCCAAACCCTATGAGCCCTAAACCCTTGAACCATGCACCCTATAAACCCTATGACTAGTATTATCATAAACCCTCTGTCTAAACCCTTAGCCCTATGAACCCTAAACCCGTAAACCCTACACCCTATGAACCCTGTTATTAGTATTATTATAAACCCTCTTAACCCTAAGCCCTACTTGGGAGGTTAGTATGATCCTCTTAACCCTAAGCCCTATGAGTCCTAAACCCCGACCCAAACTTCTCGAAGTCTTTCGACTCCGACTTCGGAGGTCGCTCCCTGGAAGTCCCGAGCTCTGGAGCTTCTCGCTTTCTACACTCCAGGGGCCTGAGGGTTCCTTTAGAAGGGGACTATGAGGGCTACTATAAGGGATCTATAAGGGTACTATACTTTTGGGGCCTAGACACTTACCCGTACTATTTTGGGGAGTTCCTTGCTTTTTGTCTTTAATACAGTTATAGTATAATGGACCCGAGAGGGGTTCCTTACTATTTTAGTATACTTATAGTATAAGGGGCCCCAAAACCCTAGTTCTGATTTTTTAGGCACCTATATTAACTTGACGGTTCTGGTGCAACACAGGTCTAACCCTAAGTTCTACGAAGCCTCCAACTCCAAAACCTGCTTCAACCCAAACCCACCCTAAAATTCTTAAGCTCGACAAAGACCACAAAGCTTAAACAATCTCAAACCTTAGCCAAGTGGCGGAGAAGTCTGATTGCTCCAGCTCTCCGTTTGGTCGCCACTGATCTGCGGCTTCCCATCCGCTCCGCTTGTCTGTTCATCCTGCGAGGTCTCGGCTGGTTCAGACTCTTACCTTTGTTAGTAGGGAATGGAAGAATGGTAGTAATTGTAATTAGTTATAATTGTACCCCATCCCTCCATTCCCTACTAACCAAAGGTAAGGATTAGAAGCATGTTTGAGAACTAGAAATGGGAGTTGTGTGACTAGTCTATAGTAACCCTAAACCCAGTGTTTCTTGTTTCTTGCTTGAACCTCAACCCTCCACATCGTTCAACTACGGTCCATTCCTTGTCCGGGAAACCAGAAAAGCCCCAGTTGTTGCTGCCCGGGTCGGGTCCCCTTCGTTGGAAGGCTGCTGGTTCTCGTGGTCATCAGATCGCCTTGTCTGAGGTTTGATTGAAAGCATACACTTAGGGTTCAGTGTTTCGGATCAAGAAAGCTCTACGGTGTGCAAGAGTGTTTAGGGTTCAGGGCATCATGAGGCAAGCCTATAGAAATCAACATGTAGAACGTCGAAATGGAACGGCCGGAAGGTATTCAAAGACTGCTTGTGCGCGAATGACCTGCAAGAGTGCCAAAATGTCAACAGGCATGAGACACAAGGGCCTTCACAAGCAGAACAGGTTGTTGTTTGAAGGGGGTTCTTATGCTAGAGTTTCAGGTCAACAAGGACAAGTTTTGTAAGTGTTCAGGTCGCTGTTGCAATTGTTGCTACCATGCGGTTGCACTGGATTCACGTGCAATGAGACAAAACCAGCTTCAGCATTCTTCCGGGATGATGAAGGGTCAGTAGCTGAAGGTGGGCTTCTCAAGGCAATTGCCTGTCAAATCGATGGCGTATAGGTGGAGTAGTATGGGTAAGTACCACATTCAGGGAGCTGGATAAGGAGTGCTGGGGTCACCCTTTTTTAGCTCTGTAAACTGACTCTGCATTCTGCATCAGCGGCCAGCCAGTCCACAAATCTGTGGCAACACGCAAGGAGCCGGCAAGCGCTAGTGAAACAAAGACTCCCCGAAACCACAAGCCTGCACCGTAAATCCATCAAGCCTTGTAACATCTGCGACCGGAAAAACGGCAAAAGCCTAAACCCACGAAGCCGAAATCCCACCAAGTTCTGCCCATAGACCTGTGCAAACCCTAGACTTTACCCATGGGTTGGCGGAGAGCTTGCATGGTTAGGCTTTTCTCGTTAGGTTTAGGGTTACCCTTGGGGCCTTAGGGTAGTTGTTTATTGTCGTAGATCCGATGAACCAGGGTCTGTTTTAATGCAGTGGGCCATTAGGGCTCAGGGTTCAGGTTTCCAGAGCCACAAGGTGTGTCCTTCTCTTTCCACTTGCACAGTGTCAAGCCCTAAAGACTAGAACGTCTGCATCAAGCTCCACCACGACCCGAGGCTTTCTATGTCATCTTGATGTTCAAATGTTGGCAAGATCCGAGAAAGAACCACCTCCACATGACGAAGATCCTCAACCCTAAAAACTCAAAACCGTCTTCGACTCCAGAACCGTCAATGCCCCGGGAAAGCTCTTTAGAAGCCAGAGATCAGAGCCGCCAGAGCCGCATCCTGGGACATATGAAGCGACTTTGAAACCGCAAGGATCTCCTCTAGAGGTGTTGTGTCTGTAAAACTAGTGGCTTAAGGCTTATATATAGTGGTTCATAGGTTTATGACGCTTTAGGGATTAGGGTTTAGGGTTCCCCTCTGTTTCTTGCAATCGGATGCTAAGAACGGCATTTAGCCACCGCGAGGTGTGCCAAGCAGACACGAGCATCGAAAACGGTGACGGTTCCTACCAGTCACATCGTTCGACCCCCGGAAGCCTTCTACTCCAAAGGTATGAAACCCCTAAGGCCCTAATGCGACCTCAGCAAGATCTTTTGAGCACACCCTAAAATTTAAAAGCTGAGCCCGATTGCTTTAACCCTAAGCCTTCCGCGCACACCCTAAACCCTCAACCTTAAACCCTAGAGCTTATAACCCCTAAACTCTAAACCGAACTAAACCCCCGACCAAAAACCCTAAAACACAAAACCCTAAAGCGACAAAACCCGAGACCTTAACCTCAAACCTTGAAAGCATAAACCCTTTTGCATCCGGTCTGCAGCGCCTCTACCGGGTCCGCCCTCAAGCTTGTTGAAAGCATAAACCCTAAACCCTTAACCCCCAACACTCTAAACCGGAAAAAGACTTAAACGCAAACTAAACAGAGAAACCTAAACCCTAAACCCTTAACCCCCAAAACCCTAAACCGAAAAAAACCCTCAAACGCGTGACCCCGAACCCTGGAGGCCAAGCTTCGAAGGGGATGTTCAAGCGGAGCTTGCTCCTCACCCGTGCTTGGCAGCGCCGATCCCGGAGGATTCCATCGCAGCTGCCACCAACTGGGCTTTTAGGGTTTACCTGGGGATCCAAAAATTAAAACCTACTGCTTTGAGGGTTATACCCTCTATAATTAAGGGGTCATAACCTACTATTTTGTAGGGTTTGGGGATACAGGTAGGGCAAGGACGTTTTCAGGCTTAGGGCTTAGGGTGTGGGGTTTAGGGCTTAGGGTTTAGGGATTGTGCTATAACTGTAGAGCGACCATATGCGGAGAGACTAGTACTGAATATGCCGATCCCTGTAGCTAAACCGAAAGACAAGGCAGGTAACCATCCCCCACAAGAAATCGGAGCTTTCGATCGTTTGATACAACGACCCCGTCAACTTGGAGAGCGCCGACAACTCTGACAATACCAGCAACCCCCCTCCCTGGTCCTCCTCTACTACAACTACTACAACTCCTGCTGCTACTACTACTACTACTACTACTACTACTAGTAGTACTACAAGTAGTGCTACTAGGAGTACTGCTAGTACTACGACTGCTACTACTGCTACTACTACTACTACTACTACTACTACTGCTAGTACTACGACTGCTACGACTGCCACTACTGCTACTACTGCTTCTTCTAGTTCTTCTGGTGCTACTACTCCTACTACTACTACTACTACTACTACTACTACTGCTACTGCTACTGCTACTGCTACTGCTACTGCTACTGCTACTGCTACTGCTACTGCTACTGCTACTACTACTACTACTGCTACTACTGCTGCTACTGCTACTACTGCTGCTACTACCACTACAGCTACAGTTCTAACAACACTAGCAAGTACTAATGCTGGATCTTAGACGCACAACTCTTCATGACTAGGCTTTGCGACTTCGCAATGGAGTTTCTGAACACGAGGCGAAAGCCTAAGCGCAGATTGTACAGGTTCACTTTATTAGTGAACCTACGCATGACCCACAGCATAAACTGAAAACGTGGACACAAAAGTGTGTCCCAGCCAGGAAGGATTTCAATACCCATCATGTTTATGTGCCTCTTACAAACGATCAGGGAACCCCAAATACAAACAGCGAAAACCATCCCTCTGATTGACCACCTAAACAAGACGGCCTGAGGCTGCAGCTGGAGCTTGAGAGGAGCGAGAAAGTCGACTGTGTACAGGCCGCCCCACTCCACATGAGGCCAACCCTACCTTGAGCCCCTGTAGTTGAGATGGCAGGGAGCAGTGATTTTGTAAGTGAAACACTCTGTGCTCTCCGTCAGCAAGGCTTATAGCCAATCAAACAACGTCGTGGTCCGATTCTTGTTGTAGCTTCGTGAAGCCTTCCCCGACACCCCGAAATACCGAAGCCCTGAAGCATTCACCGGCCGTGCCTGCCAGTATCCGTCGTCCAACTAGCCGGCGTCGAAGCACCGGACATACAAAGTCAGGCAGAAAAGGGCAGGCCAGTGGAGCCTTTGAAGGATCTCCCTCGTCCGGCTCATTGAAATCTCGGACCGTATCTTCCACAATATCCTAGGTGTCGATTTCAACAGTCTCCAAAAATACTTAAAATCAGGCCTCTAGAGTCTATTTCACACTAAGGGAAATTTAAAACACATCCCAAATCGATACCTGGCATCCCTTTGAAGAAATGAGAGGCCCCAAAGGGCAGATCTTGTCTTCTCCTCCACGGGAGCTGCTCGGCGGTTTCGGGGCGCATCCCAGGCTTCTGCGCCTGCAAGTTGCTGTGGTCTTAAAGCTAGTGTCCCGTAGCTGTCATGTACTATCTTGCGCTCTATGTTGCTACATGAAACCATAGCCAACTTATACAGCACGAAACTTTCATGCGCTATGCCAGATTTGTATAAACTATACGACCTACATGGTATGGAGATCTTAGACTAGGAAGACTATACTGAACTTAGAACCCTAGCAAAACTTATAGTTCTGGCTGTTTCTTAGGGATTATAATAACCCAAAAATTAAAAATTATTTCTAAGTGCCCCTAAGGACAGAGGAATCTTTCCAAGGAACCTGCTGCACCTGCCGGCTGCTGAGAGACTGCACCACGCGGTGTTCTTCTAGGCCGGCGGCATACCCAACTCAGCTCGTCCTGCACGGTAGAGATCTAAATACACTTATAATTATTATACAGTTATATATATATATATATATATATATCGTATAAGTATTCTAAGATGGCAGTCCATACACCATTACAGTATTTATTGATACATTAAGGTCGTCCTGTAGCCGAAGAGCGAGCACGGCACAGTAGGCCCGTGCCACAGCCACAAAAAGACCCACACAGTAAAGCAGAACTCCCGCCAGAGGCGAAGCATTGCAGGGCAGCTGAGCTACAGCCAATGCAGCCATCAAGGTGCTGTAAATCTCGGTGCAGATGGTGCACACAGCGTAGGTGGTGAAGCGCGGAACATTGAGCCAAGGGCCCCAGTATGCGACGCTCATAGGAACAGCTGCTGTGGAAGATTTCGGCCGTCGAGAAGTGCAAGCTACCCAGACCTTGAGCAAGCTCGACCCCTAGGGCTCTAAGGATTCATATATTAGGGCTTTCGGGCCCAAAGACCATACTATGTAAGGCTTTTGGGCTATGTTGATCCGCAGGATACAGGGGGTCGGGGCTTTCCTGGGCTTCGGCGCTTCTTGAGGCAACTTTCGACTCCCAGCTGTACTCCTATTGAACTGGAGCTCCTTCTTAAGTCCTACTGTATGGTTCATAGGGTTTAGGGGCTTAGGGCTTCGGGCTACAATCCGGAAAAAGTAAGCCAACACTGCTGAATGCAGCCTAGCGGGCGAAAGGCAAGATGCAAAGAAGCAACTCGGGCAGGCACTCGTACGCTAATCGTAGCCCTGGTGCGCGTGACGGATTTCAGGCATTGGACAGTGAAGCCCACAGGGCGTAAACAGTCCAAAGAGTCAAGCACGGGTGGCTTCAAACAGGCGGGATTTTAAGTCCGATCTGGTCGGCCAAGTCCAGTTTGGAAAGTGTCGCAGCTGCTGTGCTCATACCATTCATGCTACGCCACTGCTGCTGCTGCTGGTGCCATCTGGGATTCAACGTCGCTAGACTCCCGCGTCGCATGAGCCAAGCCGGGTACTGCCGATGATTGAGGCTACCACTAGCACTCTGCTGCCACTACTGCTCCTGCTCCTCCTCATCCTCCTCCTGCTACTCCCACTCCTACCCCTACTCCAACTGCTACTACTAGTGTTACTAGCACTAGCATAGTACGACGACGACTACTACTACTAGTCCCGCTGATGCCGCCACCACCACCACCACCACCACCACCACCACCATCACCACTTCCGTCTCGATTGCTACTTCTACCTCATCTGGTTCTTTCCGTATTCCGTATTCGCCCTGCCAGCCTACCACAAGCACCACGCGCGCCACGATGTAGGACACTCGCAGCACCTGATAAGAATCTCTTGCATCGGCAGGCGTTCTCGAAAAGACCCCGCAGCAGTCCCAAACCGTAAACCCTGGGCTGTTCCGACAATACGCCTAGTGTAAAGACCGTTGTAAAGCATCGATTGCCCCAGATGCCAGCAATGCTTTGAGGCACAGTTTTCAGCTTCAATGTTTCAGCGCCGTTCATGTCATGTCGGGCCAGGCTGAGATGAGCGAAATACCCTGCATGTATAACTGCCGCGCGACCATTGCGATGCAGGCGATCAACATGAAGGCCTGGCACTTGGCAAAAATGCTCGCGCCGTTTTGATATGGCAGCGTACTAGTTTTTGAGGTGGTTCCATCAACCTCGCGATATTTCATTAAGCTGTCTACACATTCCTCATCGCCACCTCGCACGGAGACTCCGATGGAGCTTAATAGATTAATGGTGCATTACGGACTTTAAAGTCTAGGTTAGGCCGCAACGGTTAGGCCGAAGCGATGGCCAGCCTTGTGCAGCGCGTATGCCGACGCGTAGTGGCGTGGACGCCGTCCAGCTTGCCTGCTGTGTCGCACGGCTTCAGGTGTCAAGACTGCATGCTCCCCAGGAGCTGCACACTCACATCCGTCTTGAGCAGTGTTTCCGAGCCCCGACAAGAGAAAGAGCCGCCTGGCAGCGGATGCTTCAGCCGTCGGCTCGGCCGGTGGAGAAGGTGATGCAGAGGCTGGTGCAGGCGGACTCCACCTCGATGAGTTTAGGGCTGTGCTTACCTCCTGCTGGCACAAGTAAGTGTCTGGGATTGTCTGGGGATATCGCAATGTGCGGGGCCGTAAGCCGGTATCAAAGCTGCGTCTCGAGGTTACGGAGGTTGGGAATGTCCGAAATCTACAACTGAAACAGTAGAACCGCACTTCTACACTGCGCTAGGTTACTTCTATGGGGAAGGTTTCCAAGCCGACACAACTACCTTGTTCCAAGCTTGCAAGTCTTGCAAGAACCTCCCAGCCTTCATGCTGTAGGTATGAAGAGTTCAAGAGTCTTTGGGGTATGGGGTTGGGTTCCTCGTGCCAGGATTGGCTGAATCCCACAAGTTTGGATCCTGAACCGGAAGTTTCCTCCACGGTAAAGGCACGGCATTGCAGGAGCGCCATCGCAAGGAGATGCCAGCACCTCGCTACCTCGCAGTTGAAGCATGAAATAAGGCTGGTGAGGTATGTCAGAGTTAGGTCCTTATGTAGGATTCTGAGATTTCGTACGTAGTCAGTCTAAAATGGGCTCCCACATGTAATATGGAAAGTCCCTTGCATATCTGTACAGAAGTGTTTACTGTACGCTTGCACCTATACGTGCACACACACACACACATATGTTCGCAGAACCGCATGCCTCTTTTTTTGCAATGTTCTTGATAAGCATACGCTCAAGTAACTAGTGGCAGGTTCCACATATCTATATGTAATATGCATTTGCCAATGTATTTGTCTGGCTGTATGCTTGTTTGCATACATACATACGAGCATTCAAACATGCAAACACACAAACGAACACAACAACAAACAAACAATATCGACACACATACATACATTTTTTGCAAACGTTCAAGCGCGCATGCATGCATGCATACACACATACCTATACATGCATGTTAGCTGTTTATGTACAGGCATCTACATACTGACTTCTATGCTGGGGCATAAGAACCCATCTTGTTGGCTCGAAGCCCTTCGCTGACCTTCCAGATACGTGCACAGCTCTTCACAATGCCAACTAGCAAATGCATGCGCCAAGTTTACGCTCGGACACGCTGAAAAGCAAAGCCGAAAATATCAGCCCGAAAAACCGAATTCGAAAGGCTCCAAGTATGCTTCTACTGTACTAATATGATGACAAGTTCAGCGGGGTAATATTCTACCAAGGGTGATTTTGTCCAATACTACTTAATAACTGTTAAAGGGCTTTGAAACTGGGACTCTGGTGCCTACCTGGTTTCCCGTTCAACTACAGCAGAAACTGTCTTACCCAAAGGGAATAACTTCCCAAAGTATAATAGGAAGCCCTAATCTAGATCGAAACCCCACTACTATATGGGTACTTACCCTAAACCGTAGACCTATGGGTAAGCAAAGATCGAACGTCTGCAGCCAGCCCTAAACCCTAAACCCTATAAACCCTACAACCCTAAATCCCCAAACCCCAACCCTAAATCCCTAAACCCTTTTTCAGCATGGGCTTGGATTGTGTGCCAGCGAACACTCCTTAAACCCTAATCCCTAAACCCTACACTGCAAGTCGCAGTCCCGGCTTCGTCCGGCCTCGCGGGGCGTCGAGGTCGTCATCCAACACCGTTGGGCTCTCTGCCACCTGGCTTTGGGGGGAGTAAGATACACATAGAACCAATGTCTCCATATTTGTGTGCATATATATATATATATATACACATAATTATATATACACATATATGTATACATAGCAATTTAAGAGTGATTTCTCTAAATATTGACATACTACGTACAGGGACTGCAGCATTTCTCGACGGGCGCTGAGCTGAAAAACCGTAAGACCCCAAACCGCAAAGCTTACAGGCACTCTTCAAGCCCATAACTCGCCCTAAAGTCTCAGATCTGTTAGCCTCTGTAAACCCCCAACATACCCAGAACCTCTGAACCCATGTCCAAAAAACAATTGCATATGAAAAATGAAACCCTAACACCTATAACACAATAGTACACTTGTCGCACTCCCGCTCGACTGCTGCAGGCAATACTCTTGATGATATAAATCCTGCATTACCTGAAGGAAGGACCCTAAACTATGGGAATTATGGCATATTCCTTATTACGGGCAATGCAGTATTTATATCATCAACCGTAGTTACATATAGTCACGTTGCAACAAGCCGTTTTTGTAACAACAAAGCGTCCTCCATCTCCGCGGCCGCCAATCTTAAAGCCTCGGAGTCGGCGAAGTTTTGCGCCGGAGGCCGCGCTGTCGGCGTGGGCGGTGCCTTGGCTTCTGATATTTAGGGTTTAGGGTTTAGGGTTTTTTTAAAGTTTAGGGTTCGGGTTTAGGGTTCAGGGCTCTTCAGGGTATAGGGTTTGGAGTTTTGGGTTTAGGGCTTAGGGTTCAGGGTTTACGGTCCAGGGTTTAGGGGTTTGGGGCTTTACGCTTTCGCAACTCGGACTCCGCCAGACGAGGTCGCTCGGTTCAGAAGTGCTTTGACTGGTCAGGCTAAAAGCCGACATTCATTTGGGACTGTTGGGGTTTAGGGTGGTTTAGGCCGACGCAACAACTACGACTACAACATTTTCATTATCAACAACTACTGCCAAATCTACTCCTACTACCACTACTACTAGTACCAGAGATTTGTGAACCAGCGTCATAGTAATCACAGTCATAGTAATCACAAGTTTGAATGCTCCGCATATGCGTCGTACTGTTGTGCACCTTACGGTAATCATCGGAAGAGGACGATGCGAATAATAAAAGCTGCCAGTAGCAGCAAAGATAGTCATATTACCAACAGCTAGATGTGCATGTGTGTGGTGTATAGGTCTATACCGTCTATACCTATACCTGTATGAAGCTATATCTACAATTTTGAACTTTCTGTTGTAGAGGTACTGTTAACAAAGTTAACAAGGATACACGTAGTCGGCGTAGTACCAGTAGTGGAGTAGTAGTAGTGCTGCAGTGTGCCGCGAAACGAGGGCCGATGTCTGACCAAGTTTGTACGGCAAGCTTTCCCGTCTTGGTTGTTTGGGTGGGCAAGATGGGAGCTTGCCAAAAACCACTTGCACCACTTGGGTGGGAGGTGGGGGGGGGGCAATCTTGGTCCTCTTGCCCATCTTGCCTGGCACTACTTGCACCACTTGACCACCGGGGGACCAAGATGGGAAAGATTAGCAAAATCTTTGCCAAACAACGGCCCTCTGTGACGTAGTAGTAGTAGACTAGTAGTAGTAGTAGTAGTAGTAGTAGTAGTAGCAGCAGTAGTAGTAGTCGCGCCAGTAGTCGTAAGCAGGAGTAGAAGTCGCTGCAGCAGCAGCAGTAAGAATAGGAGCAGGAGTAGAAGTAGCGATAGCGATAGCCGTAGCGGTAGCGGCAGCAGCAGCAGCAGCAGCAGTCGTAGTAGCAGTAGCAGTAGCAGTAGCGGTGGCGGTAGCGGTAGCAGTAGTAGTATGCAGCCTCGAACCCGAAACCCCACAATGCTGCAGAAGTTTTATGGACCTTCAAGTAGATCGCAAAGCGCAAGAGTTCATTGAGCCGGTCACAGGGGGCACAGGCCGCGGTGGCAATGGCGCAGAAGGATTTGCCGTGTCCACTTCTGTCTGGACCTCCCGAAGGCTTGGGATTACAAGAAGGGCTCCATGCTTCGAGTGGGCTCAAAGGCCCAGCTTTGTGGACTTGTTTGGGATTTGGTTTCGGTATACAAGCGGGACGTCCAAACTTTCGCGGGTTGAGGGGTGTGATGCTTGCGTGACTGTTATCGTGCATGGCTTCATCGACTGGTCCTTTTCATGGTGTCTCCACACCAGTGAAACACACATCAACAGATAACTGCATTCTCAATACAACTGGGACGAGCACACACCAACTAGGTTTGTGGTTGAGCTTTGGGACGTTTACACTCGGACATGTCCAAGCAAGGTCTGCAAAGCACACTGGTATCTAGGATACTAAGCGAACTGTTTTCGGAAGCAACTTTGCTCTTCCGTTGCCCACAGTGGCTTTTAGGGTTTTGGGCTTTGGGGTTACTTAAAGGATCATGGGACTTAGTAACTAAGGTTATAATTAGGGTAACTATACTTATAACCCCAATTAGGGTACTTATAACCTTACTGACTAAGTCCCATGATCCTCCAAGTATGGAGCTTAAAGTACTCGGTCTTATCACCCCGGAACCTCGACGCCAATTTCAACTCACGAAGAAGCACTCCCAACACCTCTCATATAGAGGTGCCTGGAGAATTAGAATACGGTTTTGCCGTAGTTTACAGGTTTGCTGCATAAGCAGGCTTTGAGAGCACTGTTTTAGCATATAGCTGTTCCGACCCTTCTGTTGAACCCGTACTGAGGCCGATGCGTGCTCAGGGCCTATTCCGACCCCTATATACCGTAGATCCGCCAATCCCTGGTACACAGCCAGGCTGAACAGAACAAATCCTCTGGTATTCCGGCTCCGCATGTCGGATGGCACGACAGGCTTCCCTCCGGAGCAGTACAAGCAACCAAGCCCCTGCAAAGCGATGCCCACACTCCACCACGGTGGTTTGACCAAACATCCTTAACCCTATACCCAAATCAGCCCTAATCCCTAAAAATACCCTAACCTTCAAACCAAATATAAATACAAGCCTTACAATCCCTAAACCCCAGCCCTTGTCATCCTCAAAACCTAAGCCCTAATTCCCTGAACCAGCTTGTCCCAGATCATGGCCCGATGCTTCCGGGGATCCCCCCCACCTTGTCTTGAACTGCGATGGCCTCCACCTTAGAGGAGTGCCGCTCATAAGAGGTTCAGGGTATTACTTGTAGCATGGTAAACCCTAAACCCTAAACCCTCATTGTTTAAGGCTTAGGGGTTCGGATCTCGGGTCAAGACATTATAGGAGTTCTCGTTCGGGGCTCAGTAGGGTCGAGGACAGGGTCATAGATTCCTGCACCATGCAGCAGAAGCCAAGAAGATGGAATATCATTATCGTAACCCCTTTAAGGGAAATTATAGGGGATCCTACGATTAATCCATATTCCAACTTTCTGGAGTTCCCTTGAAGAGAAAATGGCCATACAAATTGCACGGCGAGGGCACCAGTAGCTTCCTGCGCTCTCGGGAGACGATTGCGGGCAGCAGTCGCCAATCAAAGGCGATGCCACCGACACTTGCCACGATCAGCAGAGAGATGCCGGTTGCAATCAGCACTCCGATGCCGAAACCCTTTACAGATCTGGCGCAATGGTTGGGATTCCAGGGAGGCAGTTCGCACTCAACCCGTGTTGAGGATACATCCACCGACACATTGCTGGCTGCAGTTCTGTTGAGAGCATAATATGAGACGGCCGTCTGGCACTGACGGCATTGATGCATAGCTGCATTGCCTCGGATGGTTTCATGTTCACACACTGTTGGATCCCTCCATGCTCTGACAGCAGATGCACGGAGGCCAACAGAAAGACGAGAGACGCCTAAACCAGAAGCAATAAGAAGAAGATGCAAAACATAGCTAAACCTCACAGGCCCAACATACCCTACTCGGAGGCTCAGACCCCTATAAACACTGGGGCTGATACGACCTCTCCTTTAAAGATACGACTCAACCTACTTCCTAGTAGCATCTTGGAGAGAAGGTGCACTCCTGCTCGGTCGGCCCGGCACCACCGCAGCCTCCCCCATCGAGCAACCGATCCCAGGCCGCCTGGGCGCGGCAGCAGGGTGTGACCTGGGCAGGTTTTTGCTCGCCCGGGTGCTTGAAAAAGACTTCCAGTAGGTTCAGGTAGGGTATATATACATATATAAAAGTATAGTCATGTATGTGTATATACAATATAATGTACTGTATGTGTGTGTATATATATATATATATATATGTGTGTGTGTGTGTGTGTGTGTGTTGCATGTTGACACTCCGGCCGAAGGTCGCCATCGTCCGAAACTGCCACCAGTAAATTGCTTTCAAACTTAGTTAAGAGCCGCTGCGACATCCCATGCCTTGAGAGAAAACAGCGCATCCCGCTCCGGCCTCCCAACCATCTCTCAAACCCCCACAGCTTAGGGTTTACGGGTTCAGGGTTTCGGGAACCATGAGTCCATGGTGGAAGTCTCGCAGCTTTGCAAAAAGAACAACACGCGCATGGCTGATCCCAAAACCCTGAACCCTACCCGGAGAGCCCAATACCCCTTAATTGAGGAATATAGCTTAAATCATACTATGCGCCCCCTTATAATTTAAGCTATATTGCTTAATTAAGGGGTATTGGGCTCTCTGGGTACTACTGGGTCAGGACGCTCGAAAGTCAATGATTTGCGCCTTGCGCATTGTGATGTTTTCGAAGCCAGGCAGAACTCTGCACGCTTGACTAGTGACTATGTCTCAGCAGCGCCCGCATTGCAGACTTCACTGCGAAGCTGACTTCAGACGCTTCACCACAACCCAGAACCCACTTCAGTCCCACCGAAGCTGTGCCAGGAACGCTACAAAGGCCTGCAAAGAAACCCTCCACCCTCAATGGGTAGTTCTCGGGTCCATTTTATGGGAGTGCCGCGCTGTTTTGGGGGGACCTCAATAGGCCCTAATTTAGAGAATTACCCGAAATGCTAAGGGAGTGGATCCCTAAACCCTTTTTAAGCACGGACTTGGAGTGTATGCCGGCAGCGACGCTCTATAGGGCAGAGCCTTCATCAGTCACCTTAGGAGACCTCGGGGATGCGCACAGGAGCAACGCAAGAACAAGAAGCCTGAGAACAAGGGACGAAACCCTAAATATCCTGAACCCTAAGTCCTAAACCCTACATCCTAAACCCTAACCTAAACCCTAAATCCTAAACCCTAAATCCTAAACCTTAAATCCTAAACCCTAAATTTAAATCCTAAACCCTAAACTACTTCTCCGAGTGACGACGGGATCCTGCATCTCGCCAGCCTCAACGAAAGTTAATATAGGGGCCTAAATGAGTACCAAATGCTACTTTCGGGGGGTCCTCCCAATAATTGTAGTATAAAGGGCCCCAATTATTGAGGCCCTATAATCTACTTTATGGCCCTGAGAACTTGAATCTTAGAAGAGCAGAGTTCTTCATCTGCGTGCCTATCGAGTTCCGTAGGCTTACAAGTTTAACGTAGGGGCCGAGCCTGAACAATAAACACTAGTTGTGGGGGCCTGCCGACCTCTAACTCGGCCTTTGCAATGAAATGGCAGATTCGGGGTACGATTGCTACTCGATAGTGTCATTGTCATCGCTGGGGCTACCGTGGTCGGTGCTGGTGCTGATGTTGCTGTTGCCGTTGCTGCTGCGGCGGCTGCTGCTGTTGCGGTTGGTGAAGCTGTCGCTGTCGCTGTGGTTGTTGTTGTTGTTGCTGTTGCTGTCGGTGTGGTGGTTGTTGGTGGTGGTGGTCTCGATGCTATCATTGTTTTATCTTGTTGACATTGGTCTTGCTATCGCTCTTGCTAGATGTTGCTGCATTTACTGCTATTTTTGTTGGTGCGTCGGTCGTGGTCGCCGTGGTGCCTGGTGGTTGCGGTATGTGGCGGTGTTGGTTTTGCTGCAGTTGTTGTCGTCGCCGCCGCTGCCGCCGTAGTCACAGTTGAACTTTCCGCTTAGGGTCGAATGCAATGTCAGTTTCAGTTTAGTTTGTTTACGGACACTGACGATTCATTTTGGGCGAATCGGTGGGAATTGGCACGAAGGGCATTGATAACTTATATAGGTTGGGAGTTAGCACTTAGCGACAAGGTGACACTACATGTAGCGCCCTCCTGGAAGGCGGTCCTCATGCAAAACCCACGATTGAAGGCCTGACTGAAACCAAAACACCGTCTACTCTGACTTTTGTTTATCACGCGTGCTCGACAAGTCAGTCTACTCTGACTTACAGTAGAAGCCCAAAAGTTGGAAACCCCATAGCCTCAATCCTTAGGAGTTATGTATGGGGAATCCCAGCACTATCACGATTTGGCCTTTCAAGCCAAGACCCGAGACCCGGACCTGCACAATCAACAAACTTGGAAACCCCACAGTTGCCCAACCCGGACCTTCCCGCAAAAATCCCAATTTCTGAATCTTCGAGAATCTCGGAGGAGAGGTTTTCTTAGAGATTCGGGTGTACCTTAAACAGTCAGGATTTTGACATTCGGCAGAACTAGGATATTTAGGGTGAGTTAGTTCTGTCAAGATTCGGCGTACTGTTAGGAAGAGCTTGCTACTTAGAGTCTATGCTAGGGCCTCTGTTTTCTCAGCAGAGTCGTGGAACTCTTTCATGTACAAATGCCTCATACAGCCTGAAATCGTCACGGTCCCCCTGAATCGAAGTCTAGTCTTGAAGTGACGAAGGCACTCATATTCAGCGAATCCCTACAAACAAAACGGAATGTTTAGTTACGAGTCTGCCTTCAAGATAAACCCGAAACCAAAGAACTAAATCCTTTTTTGGTTCTGGTCTCAAGTCAGCCAAACTAAACCCTGAACCCGGAACCGTCAGCACCAAGTGACATTGGAGCAGTTCAGAGCTGCACGCGCTCCAGAGACAGCTGCCGCTGCGACGAAAGCCCTCCATTTCGAGAGCCCCATGGAGTGTGGAGCCTCCTTGGCAGGTACCTTTTAGGGTTTAGGGTTTGAGGCTGTTATGGACCGTAGGTTCGCGGCTTTGGTGCCTTGTTTTGAGTGGGGGGTAGGGTGTTGGGTAAAGCGGACTTGAGGAGTGTCAGCTGTACGCTTACGCATGATGTACTAAACAGAAGTGTACTTCAGGCCCGGAAACCTGCCAGATACCCTTCACCTCCACAAAACCTGATGAAACCCTGCAAAACCCCCTTGATGCCGCTATAGAACTGCCCCAGGAGTTTGAGCCAACTGTGCGGCCAGGCAGCAGGAGCAACTCGAGAGCATGGTTGTCGGAGTTTGGGGGTTTTGGGGTCTTCAGGGTCGCAGGTTTAGGCAGTTAAGGCTTTAGGGAGTTTAGGGAGTCTGAGGCTGGGGTATACAAACGCTGCTTTGGACCATTTTCTCGGGAATCCGTTGATGTGAAGGCGGCTCATGAACACCCAAATCATGCAAAGAGGGGTGCAGACAGGATCCAGGCACGCGTGCGTCCTGTAGACGTGGTGGAGGCTTTGATACTTCGCCGCGTCCTGCCACGACTGTCTACAGATCCGAAAAATGAGGCATCGACTTGTGTTGTTGTTTTATATGGGAGTTTTCGAAAATGGGAATAGCACTCTGAATTAGTAGCATCGTTGTTATAAGGACCCCAAAATTAAGGTACCCCTGAATTCCCACATATTCTTCAGATCTTTACCTCCTCCTACTTGGTTGCTCCTGCCAGTTTGAAACCTTCTCCTAGGGATGTGGCTGCTCCTGCCTGTCTACCGCCACTACTGCCTCTTGGATTTCGCGTCCTCCTGCCTACATGCGCACCGTCGTCGCGCGTTGCCCTCCCTTCCTGGTCATGGCAAGCTGTGTGACCGCTTTGATAGGCCCAGAACGCCCTGCACAGACCTTGTTGAAGGAGGACTCTCTGAAGTGCCTACACAAACCTTTTACACCTGGACTACGCATATGCCAGGAACCGAGGAATGACAAGTTGATCAGTTTTTGCAATCTGGGGTAGCCGTGTGGGCAAGAGCCCACAGCACAGTCGGCGCCTACACAAACCTAAACCCCAAACCCTACACCAACCTAGACCCTAAACCCTAAACTTTGAACCATTGAAATAACAGAAAGGACTTTTGTGCTCTCTAAAATAAACCCTGAACCCTAAAACCCTAAACCCCAAAGACCCGAAACCCTAAACCCTGAACCCTGAACCCCAAAGACCCGAAACCCTAAGCTTAACTCTCAAGTCCCCAAAGAAACCCTCGGAAGCCTCCAGACCATGATGCTCCACCCTCTGCTCTTCGGCCAAGACGTCGTCATCCTTTCGTCCTTCGTCGTACGCCTCGCAGCCAACCCAGAGACTCCAATACCCCTTAATTAAGGAATGTTCCTTAAATCATATATATATATATATATATATATATAAGGGATCCTACTATAATTTAAGGTATATTCCTTAATTAAGGGGTATTGGAGTCTCTGGGAAAAGGCAGCTCTTGAAGGCAACTCGGTCAAGACGAGGTCTCGGGTGGTCAGAGTACGTTGACCCATCCTGAGGTCACCGTTGTTCTGCACGGTTCATAAGGGAGCGTACCTACAGGTGTGCGCACTATTTTGGAGAAGCCAGGCTTTGGGGTTCAGGGCTGAGGGTTGAGTTCTCTCTCTCTCTCTCTCTCTCTCTCTCTCTCTCTCTGCCGTGCCATCATCAAGTGTCTCACAATGCAAGGGCACGAAAAAACAGGCCAGAATTACTATTTAATATTCTTCTTAGCATAGTACTATGACTATTACTGTTCCTGTTGCTTTTCTATTATTATGAAAACTCGGAACATCTTATTACATGCACTGCCAGGGTTTGAGGCTTCGGGTGTAAGGTTTGGGGTGGGAAGGCAAGGCAAAGCTGCACCTTCGAACCAGGCAGCCCAACTCTTCCGAGCTTCGCTGCCGAAGAGCAATATCCCGAAATCTGGCGGTCACTGTTATACATGCAACGTGGGTAAACGAACGACTGAATGAGTCAATACATAAACACATTACAAGTAAATGGTTAGATATGTACATACATATATACGACTGAAGACCGAAATCCGCCCAGCTTCGGCAGAATATGCACAAATTCTGTGTGCCCATCGCCTGGATCTGCCCAGGGCGTGCGGTGTAGCTCCGAAGATCCTCTGAGCGGTTTCGACTCGCACACTCGCTCGACGCAGGCAGGGTTTCGGCGCTCACACTCGGACAATCCGGGCGAGGCACGGTTTAAGGTTTACCTATAGCCTCCATTGTAGTTCCTTTTTTTGGTTAACCAAA